TTTAAAGTGCATATACTGACAAACACTCTCCCAAAGGGATGGATGGGACTCAGAATGGCAAAAGCCCGCTAAGATCACTTAACTGTCACAAACAAGATGGGCATAATTACCCTAAAGGATACCAGGACTGGAAGGCAATCAGAATGCATTATCCCCCAGAGATCCCTGGGGATGATAATCCTAGGAGTGAGATACATGGGCAGCTTACTGAGATGTTGCTTGATTTACATAATCAGGGAAAAAAAAATTGAGAGATGGTGTGCAGAAAGCCAAAGTCAGCTGCCACAATGCAAAATTGCACTTCCACTCTCAGTTTCTAGATTGAATTCAGTTCATAGACCCAGAGCTAATCATTGATTGAAGGGGAGGCTATGTCCTATTACAGAAGGTCCTTTTAAAACTACAGCAAATACATCTAGTTAAAATTCTCCTTTCCACAGAATATAGTTGTAGCTGCAATATGGTACCTACCCAAGAGTATTTATCAGTACTGTTTTCAGCTAGACTAGTTCTCAACCATGAAATGTGACTAGAAGTGATGTTTACCATTTTGAGGCCAAAGCTTCCCGTTAAGCAGATGTACCTTTTTATGGAAGGCAAAATAATGATCCAGCAAAGATGTCCATGTCTTAGTCACCAGAAACTGATAATTTTATGTTACATGGTAAAGGGGAATTAAGGTTGCAGATAGAATAAAGGTTGCTAATCAGCTGACCTTAAGATTTTCCCGGATTATACAGGAATATCTAATATAATCACAAGAATCCTTAAAAGTGGAAGAGGAAGACAGAAAGTCAGTGTCAAAATGATGCAATGTAAGAAAGACTCCACTAACACTTGCTGGCTTTGAAGATGGAATGGGTCCATAAGCCAAGGAGTGTAGGTGGCCTCTAGAAGCTGGAAAAGGTAAGGAAATGGATTCTCCCCTAAATCCTCCAGAAGGAATGCAGCTCTGCCAGTGACTTGATTTTAGCCTAGCAAGACCCATTTCAAAGTTCTGACCTCCAGAACTGTAAGGTGATAAATTTGTGTTTTTTTAAGCCACTAAGTTTGCGGTAATTTGTTACAGCAGCAATAGGAAACTAATACTCTCTTCCACTAGCTTTCCTCTTTTGCCAACCAGATGCAGTTGACAATGAAGCCATAGGTAATGATTGAGGTATAAGATGAAAGGATCTTGGGTCTCTGAATCATCAAGTATAGAAAAGTCATCTGCAGACTAGGAACACACACTTTGAACTTTTACTTTTGTGTTGAAATGATATTTGTTACAACTGTTTATCCTATCCCAATGAATAAAATCTCTGTGCCTCAGTTCTTCTATTTAAAAAAAAAGTGAACAACAGTAGTAGCTATCACCAATAGTTGTGAAAATTAAGTAAGTTACTAAATCTAAAATATTTTAAATGATTACTCACATACAGCAAATACAAGTGTTTGTTATTAAGATCGTACATGTGCACATATGCACACATACACACACAAAAAATTATATTATCTCTTATAAATATCAATGCAAACATACTAAACTCTTTAAAAAAAGTTCCCCAAGAGTAAAAGCAAGAAAGTTCAATATTAAGAAATCTTTTAATATCATCTACCATTAGCATCGAGTAGTAACTAGTTCCTTTAAGGCTCGTAAGTTAGGAACTTTTTATCTTTTCTTTTTGTGGGGGGAAGTGAGCATTTTTCCATAACAGTCCAACAACATTAAAACACTATAGGCTGGGAAAATCAGCTCAGATATTGAAGTTCTTCAATATTAAAGATTGCTAATTTTAAAATTTTAATATTAGAATTTTTTTTTCCTCTAACAGTGTTTAACTGCCAATTCTGATTATGGAGATTTTTCTAGTATCAAGGCCCTATGTTTATGAGCTAATACTAAAAGTGCAAGCTGGAAACATATAAATAAACACATTTCTTTTATGCATTGTATTAAAATTGACTACAAATAGAAATATTGTCTCCACTAATATTTATTTAGTAGCAGTATATACAGGTGCTTTGAGATTTACATATGCCACATAAAGAGAACTATTGATTCTTTGATACCAAAAATAAATATTTTTTAAATAATTTGATGTTGTAACAAAGTGAAGCTAAAATTTTATGAAAGAATTAGCCCAGTCTCGTATTTCTATCTTTAGTATGTTAAAGGATAATACGCTCTTTAAAGACAGAGATTGTTTCCTAGCTGTGTACTCCTTGCTGACATTGGTTTTGCTGATATGCTCTCCTGAGTTTTAGGCTTGGGAGGAGACTTTGGTTTGCTGAAATATTCTGCAGTGGGTATTTTCATCTTGTTTCTTCTTATAAACAATGGAGTCTTGTACTCAGCCTCTGAAATAGAAAAAAACTAAAATAAGAGCACACTGTAATTGAGATATACAATACAGCTTTTGCTGTGTTTTAGTAGCACACGTAGGTGAATCTAATGCACCCAAAATTCCTCAAAGAATATAATCTCATTTTTCTTTCTTACCACCTGCTCATCTCCAGTGAGCTGTTCTAAAACATGCAGGATATGTTCTTTCACTCTAAGAAACAAACATGATTTTGGTAGGAATGCTTTAGAGTTGGTCATGGCTAAGGTTGGTAGACAAGTATGGGACCAATGAGAGAAAGGAGAAAGATTTATGGTCCTGACAGACAAAATAAGAAAATAGACAAGCAGTTTAAAATAAATTAATTGTACTCATAAGATCTTCCCAAGGCCTACATGGTTTTAGGCAAACAGGAGTAGATATTTGGGAAGATAGAGAATATCAACAATGGAGACAAAGAGGTATGATTTGGGAATTCTTATACAAAGAAATTCAGGTATCCAGATAGGGTAAAATATATTTGTAGCCCATAGGAAAGACATAAATTTGAGTAATAGAAACCATCACTTTCATGATTTTATAGTCCTAGAGGGAGGAGTTTGGTAGGAGAGACCAGATAAAATGGACTATCTTTGGAGTGTCAGGGTGAGAGAGTACCTTCTAATTTCTAAACTATACTTATTAATGCTTGGTAGCGGATAGAGCCTCTTTGGGGTTAAGTTAATTCCAAAATGAGCCTACGAAACCAACTACGGTCTAGAGTGATCCCAAGAAACTCAGATTGATTACGGTATCATTCCTGGTGTAAAGGGGATTTGTAGATATCACAAGACAGACTTTTGTTTGAGGCTTGTAGACATTCTTCATAGTTGTTGCTCTGTTGTCATTATTGCTATGTTTGTTTTGGAGCTAGAAGCTGTCAAACCCACTGGGATGTTTTAATAGGGCTATTCTGAACCAAGGTAGAACTTTCCACAACCTTGATTCTCCCTGGTCTAAATTATGGGACGGGGCAAATGTAGGCTGAGGCTAGGCATCTGGTGGGGACACCAAAAAATAAAATAAAACCAAACCCCTTGCAGTGGAGTCAGTTTCAACTCATAGCAACCCTGTAGGACAGAGCGGATTGCCCACAGGTTTCTAAGGAGCAGATGGTAGCTTCGAACTGCCGACCTTTGGTTAGCAGCTGAGTTCTTAACCACTGCACCACCAGGGCTCCTGTTACTTTCTATTGTATTCCAGGTAATTCCTAGGACATCCGCTTATAGCTGATTTCATTGCACTGTTTTCTTTGGTTGATTTTGTTTCTAGTAAACATCAGTTGGCTCCATGACAGTTAATCTGTGAAGAACCGAAACTCTTTGAGATCATTATCTTCTTGATGGGTCAGTCCAGGGGTTCTCCAGTGGCTGGATTGGCATAACAAACCTATAGTTCCTGCTGTCCTGCTGTCTTGCTTCTCAAAGAGCGGCTGTCCCTGATGAGGCACTTTGCCTTTCAAAACAAAATTAAATTTATGTCAAATTTATCCCTATGAAAAATTCAGCAGTGCTGTCCCTTAAGAGTATAGCTGGAAATCACTATTTTATTCTACTGTTTTCCCTTTAAAACCATCTTTAAAATCTATGCCTCTAAGTAGTTAGATACTTACTGGTTTTCTTATACCAACTCAGTAATTATCACAAACTGTACTTAACCTTTAGGTACTTCCTTATTTCCTTCAGATCCTTGGCTTGACACTCTAAACCAATTGGAGAAAGAGAAAATGAACTTCACAGGTACATACAAGTAAGTCTATAAACTTTACTGTCATTAAAAGTTATGTATATATATGTCTTATATATGCTATCCCAATTCTTTGTTTTTCAGTGCAGTTTTAAATTTACTTCGTAGTGAAAAATTCTTCTGACTTTGAGTTAATATCTAAACAGTATATTAGATGTTTGTCACTAAGGTAGAGAGACTGACACTTTTTCCCATTTTCTCATACCATAGAAACTTTAAGCAGCGATAAATTTCAGTTCAAAATTCTCTTCTGTCCAAATGCTTTTTAAAGTGGCACATTATGCTTTTGAATATTTATTTTCTTTGACTTTAAGTTTTACCCAAATTTTAGCTTTAAAGCCACTAGATTTTCTCTCCTAGTTTAGATAACATCTTACAACACATTCTTTCACCATGATATTTTATATAAATATATGTTTTATGTTGCTGATATTACAAGGTTTAAGAAACATTTCTACTGAAATAATTTCCAACTGTCTTAATAATTATTTTTCCTGATGGCAGCACCCAGGAGCATGTCAGAGGAAATTAATTTTATTCTTGAATTATTCTACACCAAAAAATAGTATCAGTGTGATAGACATTTAACAAAATACACAACTGACAATACAATTTGGTTTCCTTTCCTGTTTCTATTTTTAGTTAAACTAAAAAATAATACTAATAAATGTTCTTACATTTTTGCATTGCTCTTCTTGCTTTGCCCTCAGTGGAGAGGGCATTTGCCTCAAAAAGAAAGGTTGTTAGGTTAAAAGCAAGACGTATCAGTTGCCATCAAGTTGATTCTGACTCATAGCGACCCCAAGCGTGTCAGAGTAGAACTGTGCTCCATAGGGTTTTCAATGGCTGATTTTCAGAAGTAGATCACCAGGCCTTTCTTCTGAGACACCTCTGGGTGAACTTTGGTTAGCAATCGACCACATTAACAATTTGTACCTCCCAGGGACTCCAAGGAAGACATAGCCCCTGCCAAAATTCTGTGAACAGTAGAATTGAGAAAAACTCTCATATTGCATTTATGATAATGAAAGAAAACAAGTATACCCTGTACTCACTTACTGAAAAAAGAGGATACTTAAAAATCTCAGTATGTTGAATGTTTTGAAAGATAGTGACAAGAGCCTTCAAAATGTTATGTACCGTAAGCCCTCTAGGCAGCCATGTATTATGTCGAATTACCTGGTCGGTGTATGCCCTTCCCTAGATCTGGTCAGCACTTTTGATTTTGCAGGTGAATTTGGGGGCGGTTTAACTGCGGGTGGCCTCCCGGTTTCTGCTGCTGGTTCTGTTGAGGTGTTTCTTCGGTGGCGAGTCAACAAGTTTATCTCAGCCAGCTCGGCATGAACTAAAGCCGAGACCCACTCTTTTTCTGATTGAAAAGGGAAGAGGAGGCTTTGTAATCGCCATGCTGTCTAGAAACAGGATTAGTTCTTTTATCCAGTACCCCAGTGTGAAAGGCTGGTAATCTATGTTCTAGGTAGGCACCTGTGATGGTTAGTTTACATGTCAACTTGGCTAGGCTTTGCTGCCAAGTTGTTTGGTCAGACACTAGCCTAGAGTCTGTTATGAAGTGGTCACATGTGATTAAATCCGTTGGCCATAATGTGAGTGGGCCTCATCCAATCAGTTAAAAGCTTTCAGAGGAAAAAGGGAGTTTTCCTAGGTTGTGTTCTGCCTCCAGACTATAAATAGGCATTTTATCAGAACTCCTTTATTCACTCTTCTCATCCTTTGACCTGCAGATTTTGGGACACAAGTCTGCAGAAATCTCTAAGACTGTCACCTCACCTACAAATTTTGGACCTGCCAGTCCCTACAATTGTGTGAGCCAATTCCTTAAAATAAATCTCTCTCACGCTTGCATGCTCTCTCTGTTTTTCTAGAGAACACTAAGATATCATCTATGTGTGAGTCAAGGTTTCTGCAGAAGAGCTGGTTCACCTCAGCCTAGTTTCTGTTGAACTGTGACACTGTAAAGTTTCCCAGAGTGGTTGATGCACTGAGGTGTCTATTTTTGTATGACAGTGGAATCATTTTTAAATATTGATTACAAAAACCAGCCTTATGGGCTACTGACTAATGAAGAAATATAGTGATATCCATACAGGATAAAAAGTACAATATGATCCCATTAAAACACAAACTGATAGTTACAAGCATATCTAGAAAGGTATCCACCAAAGTATGTCTGTGGTAACTTTATTAATTATTGCTTTTCCTCCTTTTTTTTCTTTTTCTTTTCTTCTTTCTTTCTTTGGTTCATCTGTTTTCCCCCCAACAATAAGCATTTGTTACTTGTTCATTGTTTAAAAGCTACATTTTTAAAAAGAAAAAAATAAAATGGGAACTAACTAAGGACCCCTTGTCCCCAGATACCATCCTCAAGTGCCTGCCAAGTAGTCTTGAATTCCTAGAGCAAGGTACTATTTCCAAAATGCTCCCCATTTTAAAACATTAGTCTTTCCCTAACACATTGGTACTTCCTAATACTGATCAGTGCGGTGATTCTCAGTGATCCCCAGACCAGCATTATCAGCATCACATGGGGACTTATGAGAAATGCAAATTCTCAGGCCCTACATAAGAGGTGTTGCCTCAGTTAGTCTGATGACCAGCTAGGTTTGAGGACAGCTGCTCTATGCCACTTAATGGTTGTCCCATTTACAACTGGTATGTGTTTTCGTGGAACAAGCCAGGGCTGGGTGATAACTGAGTTGATGGTGTTTTGGTGGGGAATTGAAAGAGCTGTTAGAGTCTGGGACTTGGAAGGTTGTGCTACTGTCATACATACACAAGGAAGGAAATAGATAAATTCTGTGGGGTCAGGGTTCACAGCAGGCCAGAGTTGGTGCTCAGGGAAAGGGCGGGGTCTATGGACTTTGCAGGAGAAGCACAAACCACCTTGAGCTGAGAATAAAGCCCTCCCTGGACATAAGTGTTTCACATCATCCAAATGAGTTCAATTTGGGGCATACTGAATTCAGGTTCATTGAATGACCACCATGCATGTAGTTGGATATACAAGACTGCAATGCCTGTGATACCAAAACACTGGGGAAATGAGAGTGCAACATTATCTTTGCAAATCCAAGGTAGATGACTTCAGTTATTGCCAGTTTCCCAGTTTCTGACAATAAATTCAGCTCAGTGTTTGCAAATGCTTATCCTAATCTCACCTTTTGAACTTGCATGAAGCAGCCACTGTAGAACCTCCGCCAGAGAATCAGTACGTAAAATCTCACAGAGCTTTACCAGGATCTGATAGAGAACATTAGAATTACACAGTTAGCAAATAAACTGTGCCAGGCTTATATGGCTTCCTTTATCTTCTCCAAAATCTCATCTTCTCAAATGTCACTCTAGTACAAGATGCTCAGTTAAGTCAATTGGGATTTTAGCTGGAAAGCCAGATTACAAAGAGTGCACAGTGGAATCTTAGCAAAAACAGCATTTCCAAGGCAAGTAATAGTTCAGGTTAGGCAATGCTGTGTGTTTCTATTGTTTTGTTTGTTTAGTACCAATATTTTCTGGCAGGAGCAGTTCATTTTCCTTCTTTTGGGGAACTGATCCTTTCCGAGTGCACCATGGGTTCTACTGGGGAGCTGCTAGTCATAGAACTGTCCCCATCTGTACTGCTCCTCTCCATATTGGGGGATGGAGGTGAGCTGTGTGATCTGAGCTGAATTCCTTACTATACCTCAGTTCCTTCTACACAGTGTTTGGCCCAATGGGATAGGTATATAGTTCCCTTTAGTCAATCAGAATCCTTCCCTGGGATTTTTTGTTTTTTGTTTTATTTTTAATCTGGAACTAAGGACTGAAGTGTGGGTGATACAGGAGACAGCCATACCAAAAAAATAATAATAGTAATAATAATTCTCATAAAAAAGGACTGTAATAAGCATGGAAATAGAAGTATAAAATGGAAACTTCATTACATGAAGTTTATTAATTTGAGCCTAAACTGTGTCTACTGTTGGAGTTTAGACATGTCTGGAATTCATATCTGGCTCCTGAACTTGAGTTCTGTATATCCATCTGCCTACCAGACATATCCACTTAGATATACTACAAGCACTTTCAACTCAAAATATCCAAAACTGAATCCCTCTCTCTCTTCCGAAAACCTGCTCCAACTTGCTCTTCCTCCTGGTTCCCCTATCTCAGTGAAGAGCACTAGCATGCAATCGGTTGTCCACACCAAACTCTGAGATTTGCCCTGGACAACTCTCTTGCCCTTTTCTACAACATACTACCAAACAAGTCCAGTAAATTCTATCTTCTAAATATTCCTCAGATATACCCATTTCTCTTTATCTCTACTGCCTTGATCCAGTCTAAACCATCACTTGAACTATTGCAACATCTTTTCTTCTAGTCTTAATGCCTGCAATCTTAAATTATTATTAATTAAGCAAGCATTTGTGTTTGTCATTGATTTAGATGCTGGAGATATGAAAGTGAAATTAAAGGACAGAAAAATGCATTGCTCTTTATTGAGCTTGGCTATAATATTAAGATTTTTGTCTTCAATAATGTCATATCCTAGAAGAGAACAAGTTAAATTTGCTCCTGATTTCACAAGAAATCAATGACCAAGGTAAAAATAAAAGAGCTCCATAGTATTCTCTGGTTCACTCTGACTCTGATGTCTTTCATCAATATGGTGATTGCACATTACCCCCAACTTCTTCTTACTCATAAATCACTCACTGATCAGCTGTCTTTTTAAGAATGTAATTATCCTTTTGGTGAAAGGAACTAAAATATGTCTTCCTAGGAAACCTCCTGCTTTCTCTTCATTGTGAATACCTGAGCAAATGCACAAGAAACCACAGTAGCTTCTAACTCTTTGAGGCAAATATTTGTTTCTACAGCTTGGTGTAGGGACAGCTAGGCCTGTAAACCAGGGTTCTGAGTGTCAGGGAAAGTATGGCTGTTGCAGAGGGTATCAATTCATCCTGGGATAACGAAAAAATAACCAGTGAGTAGAGTCTCTCTGGGATTCCACCCTTGGAGGTTTATCAAAGTTGTTCCTTGGAATCCCTCAAAGATCTTTTTCTTCTGTGATCTCATGACTTCCTTGGATCAGAGTAACCTTGAATCTTCAAGATAAACTCATGTTTCTTCTGCCATTGGAGTAACTAGAAAACTGCATATGGAGTTCTCTGTATTGTCAGAGCAGACTGCCAGGGAGGCTTCTGAAATTAAGTCCTATGTGTCCAACTTTACCCCCAATGGATGAGATTTCAGTATCAGAGATATCCACCATTGTCCAGCAAAGACTCTGAGGTGCCAGTCTTGGTATCTAACAGAAAAGTTGTCTTTCTGCCATCGTATGTTTTGGAGAATTTTCCAGTTCTCACCCTAACAATCAAATTTTCCAATTCTCACCCTAACAATCAAATTTTCCAAAATGTTTTCTGTAAACTTTTAGAGTTCTGAGTGCCCATTCTGAACATGTTTAATGAAGAAACAGAGTCTATCATTGATACCCTCTCATTTTAATAGCAGCTATTTTTCTTTTGTAGAAATTTTGAAATTTATCTATGTATCTCATTACTCTCTTTTAAAATGTGATGTGACAACTACTTAAAAGAACACGTGGCTGTTTTTAAACCACTTGGAAGATACTACTTTACACATACCCCATCTATTTATAGAATGCCTCAGAATTTAATTAGATACCAAAGAGGCAGCCAAATGTGATAATTATTTAATAACATGTCTGAGTAGCAATGTTCATGTAAGGTATAACTGGGAGCTCAGACTATAAGCTTTGTATTTTGTCCCATAGATTATTATTATTATTAATTTCAGAGCACATTTCCTAATGTACCTTGGAATCCCATTTGATGATTATGGCCCAAAAATCATTCCACAAATTCATTCCTAAATGAGAGGGATGATACTTTTATAATACACACTCTTCTTAAATAACAAGTAGTTGTTTTTTTTTTTTTTTTCCCCATAAAAATGCCCTATAGCAGAGTGCTTCTCTGGCCTTGCAAATTGTGCCTAGTCGACATAAAGAGATGTTCTCATAGAAGTTGAACCAAAACATCTGCAGATGATATAAGCAGATGCTCTCTATTTATCATCAGTTTTCTAGTCTAAAGAGAACTAAGACTCCCGACCTGGTAATGTAATCAGGAATGAGGCTTTGGTCATCAACCAACCATTATTTTAGGGGAAGGAAGAACTTAGGTAGAAAAAAGAGCAAGATTCCTTTGCTTTTCTCTTCCAGTACATTTCCTTTAAAATTGTCCATATAGTCTTCATGGAAGGAGATATTTTTCTAAGAAGGATATGCTCAGTGTATTAGCAAATGAATGCCAATCTCACCGTTTGCTGGCTTTTCTGAGAAATGAGAGACTTGATAAGGGAGAAATATTAAAATTGACAAAAGGCTATTGATCAAATCATTACCTAGAAAGACAAGTCTGTGAGCTCTAAGGATGAACATAAATTTTAGAAGATGTGGGGATGTCCTTAATCAGACTGTGAGATGGAGATTTTTCAATTGTTCACATTAGGGGGAAGCTCTCTAGTCACTGGATCTAGCGGATTATGAGTGACAGTCAAGGATGCCAGCCTTGTTTTATGTGTGTTGTGGCTTCAAAGGGAGTGTGCAAAAAACATGGATCAGAACCTCTTTTAAAATGTCTCTTCCTTCCCAAATCATGAGGTCAGGTCTGCAGCATTTAGTGACTCTGAACCTCTGCAATAAATATCACAGGGAAATCTGCAATAGCGTAGGAAAAATAAATTTATGGTGTTGAACCATATTACCAAAAGACAATACAACCCAAGCAAGTACTGGGATTGGAGATATGAGCCATGGGTGGAGTGGCTGTGAACTGGAGATCTACAAGGCTGTCTTCTCAGGACAAATAAAACTGGTTTTGCCAAGTCGGTTGTGGAGTAGGAGATTTCTATCCCTATTTTTTCCCAAACTATTTTTTAAATTGAAAACATAGGAATGAATGGTCTAAAATTGTTTATTCATATTTGTCCCTGGAAAGAGATATTGGATCATTTGTTGCCTGGTTATTTAATATTTCCTGTGCAGGAGTTGCCATATACTCTGCACATCATAGTTAAATAATTCAAAGTATTTTTACTGTCCATCTCAAACGTTTAGAAGAACTAAAAATGACCTTTGTTAAAAGGTATTATCCAGTCTATCAATCTCTGCCTTTTAACTGGAGTTTTTAGTCCATTTATGTTTTTACATGAGTTTAATTCTACCATCTTGTTTCTCTGTTTTTACTCCCAATTTTTTTTTCTTTTTCTACCTGCCTTTGGATTAATGAAGCATTTTTTAGTATTCCACTTTATCTTCTCCATTGGCTTTTTAGCTATACTTTTTGTTGCTCTAGGAATTAAAATATGCATTCTTAATCTATCATAGTTTTCTTTGAATTAGAATTATGCCACTTCATGTATGATATAACTTATAAGTTATGCTTCTATTTACTTCCCACCCATATTCAAGTTATTTTTTGTCATATATTTTACTTCTATATATGTTATAAATGCACAGTATATTTTTTGTATATTTGTTCTAAACAGTAAATTGTCTTTTAAAGAAAGTAGGTAATCAGATACAATTTTTTTCTTTTATATTTACGTCATAGCTACCATGTCCAGCATTCTTCAATTCTTTGTGTAGATCAAAGTTTTCACTTCGTATCTTTTTTCTTCAGCCTGAAGAACATTCTTTAAGATTTCTTGTAGTGTAGGTCTTCTAGTTATGAATTCTCTTAACTTTTGCTTACCTGAAAATATCTTTATTTTCTTTTTTTAGCTTATTTATTTTTTTATTAAAATTTTTATTGAGATAACTTTGAACTCGTATGCATTGTAAGAAATAATACAGGGAGATCTCTTGTACACTTTGCCCAATTTCCCCTAATAGTAATATTTTGCAAAACTATAGTATATCACAAACCAGGATACTGACGTTGATACAGATTTCCCCAGTTTTACTTATACTCTGTATGTGTCTGTATTAACTGCCACAGTCAAGGAACTGAACATTTCCAACATCACCACAGTATGCCTTTTTATAATCACACTTACTCTGTCCCACCTTGCTCCCTGCTTCACTTTTAAAGGATATAATTCTAAGTTGACAGGTTCCCTGCCCCACCCCACCCCCGCTTTTTAGCACTTTAAAATCTCATCCCATTATTTTATAGGAACTCAGAAATCATTTTTATGATTGTATGTAATGTGTCTTTTTTCTCTCACTGCTTTCAAAATACTCTCATTATCTTTCGTTCTGGGAAATTTGATTGTGATATGCCCATATGTGTTTATTCTGCTTGAGTTTTGTTTGGTTTGCTTGACCTGTAGGTTGATATTTTTCATAAAGTTTGGAACATATTTGGCTGTTAGTTCTTCAGATAATTTTTCTGCTTTTTTTTTTTTCCCTTTTCTTTTCTTCTGAAACTCTAATTACACATATGCTAGACCACCTGATATATTCTCATAGGCCACTAAGATTTTGTTTTATATTTTTAAATATTTTTCCTCTAGCTTGAATAGTTTTATTGCCCTGTCTTTACACTGATCGATATTTTCTCCTGCAGTGTCCAATGTGCTGTTAGGTCCATCTAGTGAAATTTTTATTTCAAATATTCAATTTCCCAGTTCCAGAATTTCTATGGCTTTCTTTTATGATCTCCCTTTTTCTATTGAGATTCCCCATCTGTTATATTTATCTTTTCTCATAAATCCTTGAAATTATTTAAAACATCTTTTTTAAAAGCCTTGCCTGCTCC